CTAAAACATCTTTCGACGACTATTTGAAGATGTGTTGATTGTTTAAGACCTCAGCCACCTACAAAACCAAACCCTTTCAAAAAAAAAAACTTTTTCATCATTTCAAATCATGACGATCTTAATCCAGTCCCAAAAGACCTCATTCCTTCTTTTCTTTTATTTTCTTTTTAAGATAATGTGAACAATTGATGAGTATATATTTGTTTTTGGATTTTTTAAATTGCATTTTTTAAAAAATTTCTTTTTACGATAAGGGATACTACAAGATTCTCTTACATATATAAGATTAAGCAAAAAACTTTAATGCACTAATTTCTGTTAATTTGTCAAAAAAGAAAGAAATATTATTTATTGAAAAGAAATTGCCCTTGGAATGTGCAACATAAAAGAAATATCAATCCCCTAACTTATAAAAAATATCAATCCCCTAACTTTTTATCTTGATGAGTGAATAACTACAAATTTGAAACAAAAAAAAGTTAACCTATTAGAAAAAAATTAATCTTGATGGGTCAATATCTACCTATAAGAAGAAAAAAAAACCTATTAGAAAATAAAATAAATTTTTTTTGACGAGTCAATATCTACCTGCTAGAAAGAAACAATTAACCTATTATCTACCAAAGAGCAATATTTTTAGGGACAGCAGTGGGATTTTGAACCAACGCCCAGCGCCCTAAAAAGTTAACCTTATCGATTAACATATGGAAAATTGTCTCATGCGGGCTGGACCGCATTACTACATATGCGGTCCAAAAAGTGTAGAGCACTCATCTTGGATGCAAGTAGGTGTTCCATCTAAAAAAACGATAGAAACTAATGGTCCAAATGTTTTTTTACTAAATTTATTATTTTTAGATTTTAAAATTTATTTTATTTTTATATATTCATGATCTTTATATTAGAGATTACATGTCCTTAAAAATCAAGTCAAAAAATCCATCTCAAAAATAGATCTATTAATAGGCCCGCATTTTGAGGGCTTGGCCACGTAGAAACCGGGTCTCATACATATTTTTAAAAAACAAATTAGGATATTTGTTTGGTGCGTCCAAGCCCGCACCTATTACTATGCGGGCTTGGAAATCTACACCGTCCATATAATCAGACGATGTAGGTTGTATCGAGATTGGAAACATGACCTACAGCCCCGGTCTCCTCTTTATATGTCTCTCTCACCCAAAAAAATATTTTTATTATTTTTTCTCTCTAAAACCCCCGAATCCTCTAGGGAAACATGACGGGAAGAGGAACTCTTGTCTCTTTCTAAAACCCCCAGTGCATACAACGCTTCTCTTTGCGGTATATCGATTTCTCTCCGGGTTTCGATCGGGTCTCAAGATAGAAGAGTGGATTTTCGAGCCTTTCTAAAACCCCCAGTGCATACAACGCTTCTCTTTGCGGTATATCGATTTCTCTCCGGGTTTCGATCGGGTCTCAAGATAGAAGAGTGGATTTTCGAGCCGCAAAATCTTCAAGTATTTGAGGGCTTTCAAGCTCAATTTTCAGATTAAGCAGACCAATTGTGGGGTTTTGTTTGATGGAGAAGGGTTGGAGGGTGAATCTAGTTCAGCCATAGTAAACGGTTTGGGGAAGACACTGGCTATGGTGCTATTGGCGCTGTGAAACTTGCCAGATATGTGACTGCATCTCTCAGGTAATGCTCTGTGAGCCATGTAAAATCCCTCCACCAAGTTCATAAGGTCATGCCTCTTTTTGTAAAACTAAAACATCTCTGCCCTCTTTGCAAATAAATCTGTATTTCTTCTATCAGTTTCAGTATTGACTTCACCTTCACCTCCATGTCTTGGAGGTTCTGCTCCAGCCATTTTGCCTGCCTATGTAGCTTGCTCACCATCATGAATAGGAACTACTTGCAGCCCTCTTCAACATATTTCTCTCTTCTCTCTCTAACTTCTCTCTCTTCTCTCTCTAACTTCTCTAAAATATTTGTCAACCAAACCACTTCCTATATCATTTCTACATCACCTCTCTATCTCTTTCACCCATGTTTTCCATGTCCCTCCATTTTCATAAACAACTCTCTCACTCTCTAACGGCTATGTTTACAATGGCATTATCTCCAAAAGCATTAGTATTAGAGAGAGAGGAGCGGAAAACAGAGAACTTAGTCCAAGTGTTTGGCATATCAAATTCAAGATTCATAAGAGTTTCTCTCTCTAGATTGTTTTGGTTTCCTTTAGATTGTTTTCTTTTAATCTAAAACAGAATAATCCAAAGAATCTCACTTGCTTTTGTCCAATTTTGTATCTCTTAAAAGTTAAAAAGAGAGTTTAAGGAAAGAAACTCACCTACTCTCTTATTTTAAATTCGTTTGCTCTCTCTCAAAATATAGTAGGAAAGAAATTCACTTTCTATCTCTTTTGTTTTGATTAAAGTTTTCTCTCTAAAAGCAGGTGGGTTTTCACTAACATGTTTTTTCTCTGTAAAACACCACCTGCCATGGTGATGAAGATAATATGGAAGAAAGAGGGGAAGGGAGATAAGAGAGCAAGGAAAGAAAGAGAGAGATCATGGAACACATTTTTTTTGTTGGTATAAGGGAGGGCTTAAATCGAGGATAAGATTTTTGGGGATGAAGGAGCGTTGCATGTAAGGTCAAGACTTATAGCCAATTTTGGAAGACAATTCACTTTCTGTTATCTGGACATTTGAAAATCATTAGTTCATGGTTATATGAATGTCTTGGATTTGATGACCACCTCATAATAGGTGGGAAAACCGGGTCCAACAAATTAACCTAATAGAAAAGGTGCGAAAACCGGGTCCAACAAATTAACCTACTATAAAAACAATTAGGTGCGAAAACCGGGTCCAACAACTTAACCTACTAGAAAAAATAGTTTATTACTTACCTACTAGAAAAGGTGCGAAAACTGGGTCCAACAAATTAACCTACTACAAAAAAAAAACTTCGGTGTGAAAACCGGGTCCAACAAATTAACCTATTAGGAAAAATGAATTTATTTATTATTGACAGCTGTGGGATTTGAACCCACGCCCTTGCGGACCAGAGCCTAAATCTGGCGCCTTAGACCACTCGGCCAAACTGTCGCTGATACAATTGTTGCCTTAATTAATATGTGATACATAAAAGATTTAAAAACCAAAAAGGCAGCCTATTCCATCGAAACCAACGTACCTGGAGCATCGGCCGCTCTTGTCTATGACCAAAGGCGTATATAAATGTTCACCATTAAGAAAAAACGGTAGATAGCCCGATATTTAACAACATAAACTTTTAGAAATTAGGAAAAGCTAAGGTTTCTATACTTCCTCTATTGCATAGAAGATATATGCTTCCCCTCATCTAGCCTTCCAATTTAGATCAAATGAGCCACTGACTATTTGATCTAGATTTGCCGCTTCATAGTATTTTTTTCCTAGTTTGTTTTTTACAAATTATATAAATATGAAATTTGGTACGTACTATCATCTCAATAGATCACACCAAAAATAATAATTTAAAAACACTTTTTTGATAAAATATAATGACCAAAATATCTTTTAAAACTTTCAACGGTATTTTGATTATTTTATTTTATTGAGAATATTATGTTTATATTTTTTTACAGATGTGACTTTAAGAGAGGAGTGGATACCCAAAATTTGGTATCAAAATAGTTTGAAAAAAATTAAAAAAAAAATAGTATAGAGATGTAACATTGTGATTGGGGTCATCTTAACCATCCATTCAGAACGGACAGTTGGATAAGGGGAAGAATAGAAAACTTTCCCCATTAAAAATGGGAAAAACTTTATATAAGGTTGCAACCTTAAAATATAGAATTAAAGTGAACTTAAGAAATACATCGTACAAGGTTGCATTGAAGTTGGAAACCCTCTAATTGATCATCTCTGCATCTGGATATATAAATATGAAAAAAAAAAAAAAGATTTCGAGTCCCAAAAATAGTGCATCTTACAACGCATTATCTGGACCGCCCATTTTTAAGATTTTCATTTGTTTATAAATCAACTTGATTTGAACCATTTTTGGGGTTCAAAATTTTATAGTTGAACAATGAAAATGGATTCTCAAGCCATCCTAAAAATCTTTGACACCAAAATTATATCTTATTATACAATTTCGTGATGCAACTTACTTTCATTGTTTAAGGTTGCAACCTTATGCAAACCACACCACACCCTTAGCAAAAAACAAGACAGTTATGGGTTATCTTGGCCCGGAATCGTCATCCTCGGAATCCAGTCTGACTAAGGCAATTTGAGTCCAATGGGTACTACTATGTACTCAAATGTCAGCGTTCCCCGAATCAATTTGGGAAACTTTACTGTATGTCTGCGTTCCCCGAATCAATTTGAGAAACTTTAGTGTTTGAGAGATGAAGTGAACTTTCATGAGCTTAGACTTTACAATTTGAAAGTATGAGCTGAAAACTCATGAATGTCATAATTCAATGCATTGATTTTGTGCGTGCTTCAGGTTTGGCGTATGATCCCAACGCGGTGTCATTTGTCCCTTTGGTGGAGATTGATTGCAATTCCTGCAGGTGAACATTCATATCCATGTACAGTTGATCTCCACGGTCCATTGTCCACAATGGATGGTCAATGACTCAGTGGTGTTATGTATAAATTGAAACACTGGATTATAATACACTTGTTTGATGGGTGATAAGCTGTGACCTCAAATAGCTGGTATTTCAGTAGCGATTAGGGCAAGGATCGACCAATATTTGTATAAAATTTGGGCTGTAATGCCCACAGTGGCCTCCTTTTTTCAGTACTTTGCCTAAATTTGTTCATGTATGTTTCGTTAGTTGAAGAAAATATAGACCATTGGATCATCAAAGCCAATGAAATGATGGATAATTTTGAGTGGAGTATATGGTTACGACCCGACAGACCATGGCCATCGTCGATTATGGTCCACTTTTCTTGCCCACATTTCAATGCTTTGAAGAACTTGTTCTCCTTTGGTCTGCCGAATTGAGAGAGAGAGAGAGAGAGAGAGCTAAAAATCCTTCTCAATTTCTGGTTTTTTAAATTAAATCTAGAGGCTCAAGCTGCGAATTTACATGAGAAGTAATTTATGAACTAATAACTAAGCTTTTACTGAAGGGTCACCCACATAAAATCCATCACTCTTATGTATCAGTCAAAGGGGTCTATACGTAGATCATGTTCACTCGCCATCGCCATTCCTGTGCAAAGGCATGTAGGGCACATAACCTGCAATCAAGCAGTTCAAAGCTTCAAATTAACAAGAAAACATAGTTTAGCAATCTATATCAAATTAGACATTTTTCTCCCCTCCCTATAGAAAAATCATGAGATCAGCAACTAGAAACAAGTCAAGTTATACCACACTCATTGCATGCCATATTCGTTCCAGTGAAGGAGAATATATATAGAGACTTTGATGGTTGGGATCATAAGGTAGATTAGTCGAGAACAGATAAATACGCTTCAAATTAAGCACATTTCCAACTCCCCCAATGAATGGCAACAACTGATGGACTATTCAGCCCCAATATCAGACCAAACCTGGCTGACTTGTGGTATACAGCCAAAATCCAGCAAAATTGTTTAATACACGCCAAATTGCTGTTCATTTTCAACTAAAATTGCGAGCAATTCAATTATCAAAAGAAAATTGTTGTCCACTCCAAATCCAAAGCAAAATGAATTTCTTAGATATGACGGAACAATATGGTTAATTTTCAGAGCTTCTGAGGTTTGAAACTCCTAGAGTATTTCTTAAGGACAAAAAACATGGGAATAAAGCGCATCAAAGACTTCATATGGACAGTGAAACACTACCAGTGGAGTGAAGAAATAGAGTCCAAATGCTACCGTTATTCTCCCACGAAAGCTATTTTAAAATCCTTCCAAAAACAATATACACTATAGGGGAAGTGTACTACAATCTAATGGACTACTGGTTCATAAGTTTCACAAGGAAATGGAAGATACACTGAAGGAAGTGTACTACAATCTAATGGACTACAGGTTCATAATTTTCACAATGAAATGGACAATCATGGAGAGAGAGAGGGACTAGCAATGAAATGCCATTCGTATCCTAATCCAGGCGGGTCCCACTTTTTGCCACTGTCAAGAATTTCACTAGATGGTGATGACCGAATGGGCTCTGAGTAATAGCATTGTCCATTGGGATATAGTATACTTCCCTATATAAGAATCGATTGAATAGGGCCAAAAGTACCAAGACCAGTAGACCACGATGGTATCCAGATCCCATACCTTGCCAGCACCTGAGCAATTGGAACACCTTTGAGTCGTGGGTACACGCAAAGGGCTATTGCAATCGCCAGAGATCATGATTGGATCAATGCTCAGAAACATACCACTTCCGGAACACCGAGCACATGCTAAATATCCTGCATTTTGCAGAGGCAAACAAAAGTTAAATAATAAAAAACCCATCAGATACTAATTAATTTCAGGACCCTGCACAAGTTGCAAAGCATCAGATGTTCACACTACATCAGGTTTATTGAGAAAGAGGGGATTCATGGTAAGGATGTTGCAAATATTCAAAGTAGGAGAAACAAGATAGTAAAGTATTCAATTGAAGTCTCAAAAGGTTATAAGATACTAAGAATCCATGAAATAAAGGTTTCAGATTTCACAAGGGGAACAACCAAACAAGTGCTAAAGATAAAAGCGGTATGGGCCTAAACATATAAAGATATACTTCACCAGGAAAACATGAAATGCTAGAAATGTATTTCTAGTAATTCTTTTATGTTATTATCAGCACCTAACAACCATTGAAATGCAGCTGAACATACCAGTGCCGAGACAATACTTGCATCGTTTCTTCCCTTGTTGCTCAACATTGTTGATTTCAACCACCATCAAAGCTGAAATGACACCCACTGCTCCACCAGAGAAGGATGCCACTATGGGGTCCACCTGACTGAACCATGGTTATAAAAATACTAGCTTCAGGAGATTAATAATGCAATATGTTATTGCAAAATCCAAGATTGGCAAACCAAAGATTGTAAAAGAATCAGAATAGTCAGAGCATCATTAACAAAATCACTAAGGGTGGGAGACAGAGAGAGAGAGAGAGAGAGAGAGAGAGAGCATGCCTTAGTTGCAGTGGTAAGTGCATGTTGCGTATGAAATCTTCATAGGAAGTACCACCCAATCCAAGTTTAAGCTCAAGCTGATAAAAAATTCCTGATTCAGTAACCTTGTTTCATGATCAAGAGTCCACCTAATGTGAACCTAATATGGCTTTCTTTATAAGAAATTAGTAGATATTCTACTCTAAGGAACTCCACCATGGTCAGTCCCAAGCAGGTCATACCGGTCCCAAGCCCTGAGAAAGGAGGAAGGTTGTGTTAGGTTGGCAACCAGCGTAAAACTTTTGCCACACCTATTCCATGAATCCTGATTCAATGTAATATGCTCATGCTAGGGCGATTCCTGTAAGTCTGACTGAGGGTACGGCCCTTGATAATGATAATGATGATGATGATGTTCTACTCTTAAGGAAAAATAAATTTGAGCAGTGCCCATGTGTCTTTAGTTTTGCAATTTACTTAGTTCAGGTAATTCTGTGGCTGAGTACTGCAGGGAGTCACTCACTCTCTAAATTAGAATATCATATTACTATCAGGAAGCCAATCTTCTCCATCACTGTCGATCATTTCATTGGATGGTGATGATACTGATACGGTTTCTCCAGTCTGCCGGATTGTATACTTTCACATGTGTGTTTAACATTTCAAATATAATGGAAATTATTCCAAAATAACAAATCATCGCAGAAAGACTCTACTTACAATGGGAGCAAGGAGGCCACCAAATACAATGATCCCAGATATAAATGAAAAGGATGTGAGATATAGTTCCTTCAAATTTGTTGGATTCTAATACACGAAGAATATACACATGGTTAGTACATAAAGCTGAAATTCACCGATCAAAATTTCACGTATTATGCCCCTTCACAAGGAATTAAGACAACGCCAAAAAGGAAGCAAAATCATTCATGCATTCACCAAATGAGGGAGAAAAGGAATAGATGATGGAATCTCAGGCATTTCATTTTCCTCACTACTTTCAACGACTGACTCAGAGCTCTTTATTCGCTGCTGTACTCGTAATCTCCTGACCTAGACAAAAGGATCACAAGAAATGTTCAATTTAAGTGAGTTAACCTTTTCTTCAAAACAAGAAATGCTTAATTTAAGTGTTTGTAATTAAATGGATACAAGAGAAGAATTTAGTCAAATAAACTATAAACCAATAAACTATAAACCAAGAAACCCTTCTTGAGGACCAAAAACAGAGGGAAATCAATCATATCCAATTGAAATGCTTGAAATGCTTTGGAGGCCAATACATATGGCACAAAAATGCTACAAAAAGGTCAATGAAATCCATACCGAACAAATCCAGAAGCTAGGACAGTTATCATGCTACCATACTATAGTATTGCAAGCATAAACACTTTTCATGACGGTGGAACTATCCCCTTCGACCCCCAAAAAAGGACATCATACAAATTATCATGTGTGGGAAAGAACATCATTTCTTTGTAGTAATGGAAAATGATCTTATGGATGAGAAATCGTTCTCCAATACAATCCATAGAAGGAGCATCTGTGAGAAGATTCAATTTTGAGGTGCATATTAAAAAAAAAAGATAGAACTGAAAAAGCACAAAAAACAAGAAATAGAAAATATTTGACATACATAAGAAAGTTACCTCCTCCATGAGCAGAAAAATTTTATTACGACGGCTTTTTATGTTGTCTTGAATTTCTTGCAGCTGCATTTGAACAAAGTCTTGCACTGTCTCGGGTCCTTCTATGATGCAGAAGCTGCAGGGAAAGGAATGTTCTTTAGAAGAATACAATGTGATCACAAAGAGATCTAAATTCAAGGGCCATTCACATGTCAACAAGCAGATCAAAATGCAAAAGAAAAATATTACATAGAATGGAACAAGATGATAAACAATTCAATGGCGATTCACATGTCAACAAGCAGATCAAAATGCTGAAGACAGATATTACACAAAATGGAACGAGTTGATAAACAATTTTGGATGAACTTACATAACAAAGGAAAATAGAAAAAGGTATAGACAAGAGGGCCTCAAAATATTGGTTGTGCTTTTCTAGGAGACGTCATCCTCCAAGTTGCGACATGAGATCTGAGGGAAGTGACTAATTTTCTGTTTTGGTCATTTAGAAACTGGAACTCCACTTTATGATACTCAAAAGCTGGCACAAAACAATCATATTTTGTTTCTTTTGTCCCCTATTTACTTGAATCTCCAAGAAATCCCATACATTTGTCTCCTAGTTAACACCATACAATTATTTCCGCTATTCAATAAGTTCCATACTCATGTTTAATTTTTTTTAAGTTTGTTCCCATAGTAGAATATTGGTGGTTTTTATTCATGATACTCAATTAAACAATAGAGCTAGTAGAGATTCTAGTTTTTCCTCTTTATCTAGGGATTATTGAGCTAGGTCCACCAGGGCCTTACCCACAAATTAGAAAGTTGAAATAGCACAAAAATGGACCATAGGCCTCCATGCAATTCAGGGTCTCAAGACCTCCATCATCTCAATATCTATGAGATCCAAATTACAAATACTGGGCATAACACGAGGATGAATTGCACTTCTGTCATAGGTGAACATTGCAAGTCCAACGCGATATATGGATTGGATGACCCACATGCCTATTTGTGTTGAGACAAACAAGCACAAAATGAGATCAGAGAACTCATAGAAAGTCATCCCCATGCCCAGATATTAATTAACTGCTTCCCAAAAATAGGATAAAATAACCACCTAAGAGGGTCGCAAAAGTTGATAGGGCCTAGAGGCTGCAATGCCAAAAAGTTTAATGAATTTTAGAAGAGTTGAAAGCCATAAAATCTAAGTATCAGGTCAAATTCACATTAGTCTGGCAAAACCAACTATATAAAACCAGACAACCCAGGGGCACTTTATGGATCCAAGGTTAAAACATCTCAAATTTTTGCTCTCTTGAACTTGGGCATGATTGACCGGACCAATGCAAACTACTATCACCAATTCACGCTAAGTTAAATTATTGAAGATTGAGACCGTACCAGTGGCATAAACAATTGATAGCAGAATTGGTTGTGAAAAACTGACATATAAATCGGTAGCAAGTCATAGAATCTATTAAATTCGAGTATAGAGTCAGGCATCTTGATATGATCTATTGCACCCATACTCATAACTGGAATTTAAATCATGGAGTTATAGATCGGGCGTATTGTCCTCTTTTGTGAGATTAATAGCACACCTACAGCAGTTGGTTATCTCCATTCCCACCAAAAATATCCAATTCCCATTCAAGCCTTCTATCTAGTAAGGATTAAGTTCCTTTAGCCATTAATTTATTTCCAGTCGATAAGAAAGGGAATTGTGAATCATATAGAAATTTTCTTAGCTTGTCCAAGTAACAGATGCGAGAAACAATTAAAAAGGACTAACTTGGAAGCAAATAATCCACCAAATCTCCTATAATCAAACCATGGTTGTCAAAGAATAAGAACATAAAAATCACTATAAAACAATTACTTTTAAGTAATTAACTGTAGTCAGAAACGATTCAATCCCAACTCAGCTCTTATTTCTCAACAATCAGTATCATTCATCAGCACCCACTAGAAAATATCATAAAGCTTTTAAGAACAATTAAGAAAACTTAAATAGTAAGCAAACGATCCACTAAATTTCCTCTAATTGAATAAATAATTGCGAAATAATCTGCTAAATTCCCTACAATCCAATCATGAAAATCAAACCCAAGAACATTGAACTAGGAAAAACAAATTCCAGAAGAAAATTAATTATAATTTAACCATAATAACCACAAACAACCCCAACCTAGTAACCAAGTAAACGCTTTTATTTCCTACAAGTCAACAATAATTATCACAAAATAAGAACAAAAACAAACCCAAAAAGGTGAGAGGACCACCAACCTGGATGCCCCGCCGGAAGCTACGTTCTCTTCTTCCAAGGGGTTCGAACCAGAGGAGCTCATGGACAAGCATTTGGTCCTTAGATATAGAAAGCCTCCTTTATGCAACAAAGTGGGCTTTCTCTCTCTACAATGGGTTAAATCCTTTATGAAAATCTCTCGACTGGATGTAAGTTTTTGTGGGAAAACTGAAGGCGTAGAGAGAGAAAAGGGAAGAGAGCAGAGGATATGGGCCACATGTCTCTGAGCAGAAGAGAAGATTTTTGCAGTTTTATGAGAAAGAAACTACAGTTTCTGAGTCATTTCTCTGTAGTGGAGCCTTAGAGAGAGAGAGAGAGAGAGAGAGAGAGGA